TTTTTGGATTGTTTGTCTTAGTTCTGTGTAATATATCATTGGTGTTTTGATATGAATTGCATTGAATCTATAGATTGTATTATGTAGTATGGATATTTCTATAATGTTAATTCTTCCTATTCATGAGCAGATATGTGCTTCTATTTATTTGTATCTTCTTTAGTGTCTTTGTTGTATATCTTAATATTTTCCAAATATAAGTTTTTTACCTCCTTGATGAAATTTATTCTTAGATATCTTATTTTTTGCTGCAGTTATAATGGGATTGTTTTCTTAGTTTCCCTTCCTGATAGCTCATTATTGGTATATAAATGCAACAATTTCCTGAATATTTATTTTGTATCCTGCTACTTTACTGAAATCATTTATCACTTCTTCTAGTTTTTTGGTGGAATCTTTAGAGTTCTCTATATACAATATATTTTCTACAAATAATGACAGTTTTACCTCTTCCTTTTTGATTTGGATATCTTTTGAGTTTTCTACTTGTCTAATTGCTGTGGCTAAGACTTTCAGTACTGTGTTGTATAAGAATAGTGAAAGTGAACATCCCTGTCTTGTTCTGGATCTTCAGGGAAATGCTTTTAGTTTTTCCCTGTTGAGTATAATGTTGGCTGTGGGTTTGTCATCTGGTCTTTATTACACTGAGGTATATTCCCTCCATTCCCACTTTGCTAAGAATTTTTATCATAAATGGGTGATCAATTTCATCAAATGATTTTTCTGCATCTGTTTATATGATCATTTTTCATCCTTCATTTTGTTTATGTGGTATATTACATTAATTAATTTACAGATATTGAACAAAACTTTCATCCCAGTAAGAAATTCCCCCTAGATCATGGTGTAGGGTATTTTCAGTTTATTCTTGAATTTGGTTTGCTATTTGGTTGAGGAAATTTGCATTTATGTTCATCAGGGATATTGGCCTGTAATTTCCTTTCTTTGTAATGTCTTTATCTGGTTTGGGAATCAGAATTATGTTGGCCTCATAAAATGATCTTGAGAGTCTTCCCTCAGCTTGAATTTTTTAGAAGAGTTTGAGAAAGAGAGGTATTAATTCCTCTTTGAGTATTTGATAAAGTACACCTGTGTGTAGCCATCTGGTCCAGGATATTTGTTTTAGGGGAGTTTTTTTTATTACTGCTTTGATTTCATTGGTCCAGATTGTCCAATTTGTTGTTTATAATATTTTCCTATACTTTTGTTTTATTTCTGTGGTGTTAGTTGTTACTTCCCCTTTCATTTTTCTTTTTGTTGATTTGGGTCATTTCTCTTCTTTTCTTGATGTGTCTGGTTTGAGGTTTGTCAATCTTGTTTACCTTCTCAAAGAACCAGCTCTTGGTTTTATTAATCTTTTGTATTGTTATTTAGATTCTGTTTTGTTTATTTATGCTCTGACTCTTATTTCCTTCCTTCTACTCACTTTGGGCTTTGTTTATTATTTTTAGTTCCTTTAGGTATCAGGTGAGATTATTTGAATTTTTTTTCTTGTTTCTTGAGATAGGCCTGTGTTGCTATGAATTTCCCTGTTAGGACTGCTTTCACTGTGTCCAATAGATTTTAGGTTGTTGCATTTTATTTTCATTTCCTTAAGGTATCTTTTTATTTCTTCCTGATTTTAATGTTAAATCATTCATTGTTTAGTAACTTGTAATTTATCCTCCATATATTTATGATTGTCAGGTTTTTTTGTTACTGATTTCTAATTTCATACTTTTGTGGTCACAGAAGATGCTTAATATTATTTCAGACTTCTTAAAGTCCCTATTATGACTGTATTATTGTCAATCTCTTCTATATGTCCTTCCGTATTTGGTTTATATATTTAGATGCTCCTATGTTGAGTGTATACATTTTTATAAGGACTGTGTCCCCTGGTTGGATTGACACCTTTCTTATAATATAGTGTCCTTTTTTTTCTCTTACTATAGCCTTTGTTTTAAAGTCTGTTTTATCTGATATAAGTGTTGCTGCCCCAAGGGGTTTTTTTGTTTACATTTGTACTAAATTATATTTTCATCCCTTTAAGTCTTTGTATGTCTTTCGATCTGAAGTGGTCCTATTGTAGCTAGCATATAAAGGTAAGGGGAAAAGTAAGTTTACAGTTTTGAGTGTGGGAAACAGAGTTTATTGTTATGTTGTGTTATTTATTTATTTATTTATTATTTGTCTTATTATGTTATTATTTTGTATCCTTTTTAATGATTTATCTTTTAGGTAATGATGGCTGGTAATATAAACGACTTTTTCCCCATCCTGTATATATGTATCTTGTTTTCTTATCAGTTCAGCTACCCTATGTATTTTAATTGGAGAACTTAATCCATTTACATTTAAAGTGATTATTGGAGATTAAACCCTTGTCTGAGGTATCATCTGCAAATATTTTTCCATGCAGTTGGTTCTCTTTTCATTTTGCTGATGTTTTCTTTAGTTGTGCAGAAGCTTTTTATTTTGATGAAGTCCCATTTGTTTATTCTTTCCTTTATGTCCCTTGCTCTAAGGGATGTATTGGTAAAAATATTGCTGTGTGGAATATCTAAGATTTTCCTGCCTATGTTCTCCTGTAGGACTTTTATGTTGTCATGACTTATATTTAAATCTTTTATCTATCTTGAGTTTATTTTTCTGTATGATGTAAGCTAGTGGTCAAGTTTCATTTTTTTTGTATGTAGCTGTCCAGATCTCCCAAAACCATTTGTTTAAGAGACTATTTTTATTCCATTTTATGCTTGTGCCCACTTTGTCGCATATTAATTGACCACTGACACAAGGAGCTCCTACCCTTTGTGACAGCGTGGCTGGAACTGGAAAGCCTCATGCTAAGTGAAATAAGCCAGGCAATGAAAGACAAATACCAGAGGATCTCACCTATAAGTGGAATCTAGTCAACAAAACAAACAAGCAACCAAAATATAACCCAAGACATTGAAATAAAGAGCAAACTGAGAGTAACCACAGGGGAGGAGGGTGAAGGGGTAATGGGGGAAACAGAGGAAGGGCCATCAAAGAACATGTATGAAGGACACATGGGAAAATCCAAAGGGAGTAGGTTCAAGGGTGGGAGGTGGGGATGGGTGGGGCGGAGGGGCATGGTGGGAGGAAAATAGGAACAACTATATTTAAACAACAATTAAAAAAGAAAAAGAAAGTGATTATTGATAGGTGTGTATTTACTGCCATTTTGTTCTTTATAATTATGTTCCTCTTTTTTTTTCTGTCTTCTTAAACACTCCCTTTAACATTTTTTATAATACTGGTTTAGTGGTAATGAACTTCTTTAGCTTTTTCTCGTCCAAGAAACTAGCCATGTGTTTGTTTGTTTGTTTGTTTATATTTTAAATTATAACCTTGCTGGGTAGAGGTCTCGATTGTATGACTGTCCTTTTCATCACTTTAAATATTTTATGCCAATCTCTTCTGGCCTGAAATGTTTCCATTGAGAAGTCAGCTGCCAGTTTTATGTGCACTCCCTTGTAGGTAACTGTTTCTCTCCTGTTGCCTGTAAGATTCTCTCTTTGTCTTTAAACTTTTCCATTTTAATTATGATGTGTCTTAGGATGTGACTCTTTGGGTTCCTCTTGTTTGGGACTCTGTGTGCTACCTGGACTTGTGTCTCTGTTTTTTTACCAGGTCAGGTTCAGTTTTCAGTCATTATTTATTCAAAAAGGTTCTCAATTTTTTGCTCTCCTTTGGTACCACTCTAATGCAGATGTTGTTAAGCTTTCTATTGTCCCATAGGTTCTCTTTTTTTTATTCTTTTTTTTTTAATTTTCTGATTGGGTCTTTTCTGACTTCTCTCTCAATTCACTGATTTGATCCTGTGCTTCATCTAAACTGTTTTTAATTCTTTCTAATGTATTTTTCATTTTGTATGTTGTCTTACAATTTCTGACTGGTTCCTTTTATATTTCAAGTGTACAGCTCTATAATACATCATCTGTATATTACATTGTCCTCAACACCCAAAGTATAGTCTCCTTCCATCACCATATATTTGACTCCCTTTATTCTCTTTATCCTGCCCCACCCTCTGGTAAGCACCATTGTTGTCTGTGTCTATGAGTTTGTTTGTTTGTTACATTGTTTTATATACCATGTATGAGTGAAATTATATGGTTCTTGCCCTTTTCTGTCTTGCTTATTTCACACAGATTCTCTTGTAAACCACTGTGGACCTGGGAGACTTAATCTACAAGTCTAGACAATGAGGCTACTCCCTTTTATCAAGGCAGTGTTTAATGTTCATAGCTTCAGATTTAGCTTTCCTGTTCTTTGTCATCCATTCTTTTCCAACATGTACTTTTTAATGTAGCCTTTTATTTGGTGGTATTAGTTACTGAATTTTGCTTCAGGAAATGTTTTCTGAGAATGTGTCATTTCATGGTAAATAAAATTACATATACCTGAATTGTGAAGTGAGAGGACTGGAAATTCAGTCATATATGTTTTTATAACCACAGCCCTATGAACTTCAAAATTGGGGAGCATCTCATCATGTCACTGGATATCTACCAGGCCTTTGTTTTACTGCCAGCTGGAACACTGGTTTTTATTCTGTTGGGATATGTATGTCTGTAAATATGCACCTTCTCAGAGAAAACTCTTTATTCTTTTCAGCATAATGTTACATTGAAGCTTTTCTCAGTGTTGAGTGTCCAAGCAAAACATAGTAGCTGTTATGGAAGACAGGGGAAGCAGATGCTCTTTCTGGAAAACACTAATATATTTGATTTGAAAGGATGACCTTCTTTGTGTGCTTTTAAACTTCATTTGGCTTTAGTTTTATGGCAAAAGAGAATTGTCTCCTATATTTTGCAGATAGTGATCAAACACCCACCTGTACAAATCTAAAAAAGTGCATGTGGAATTCAGCTTCATTTATCTTGGTTCATCCATTTAGGAAGATAACTACAACGGATTTCTAGTGAAATCTTGATTTCTGTATTGAATTAAAAACTGTCTCCTAAAAGAAAAATGTGAATGCTTTTTTGTAGAGTCTGCCTTCTCGTGCAAGATGCCTATGGAATGTTCAGTGAAGTGCACTTGGAGGGTACCATCTTTAAGGACAGACAGTTGGAAGGGAAGTCCTGCAGCCTAGCGGGAATGAAAGTTCTACAGAAGGCCACCAGAGGAAGGTGAGGACAAATTCTAATAGCATCCTATTTGCTGTAGTCTGGTTCTTTCTTTCTTTCCTTTTTTTTAAGATTTTATTTATTTTTAGAGAGAGGGGAAGGGAGAAAGAGGAGAGAAACACACATCAACATGTGAGAGAAGCATTGAGCGGTTGACTTTCTCACACACACCAACTGGGGACCAGGCCCACAACCCTACAATCCAAGCACATGCCCTGACCAGGAATCAAACCAGCAGCCCTTCACTTTGCAGGAAATGCCCAGTCAGCTGAGCCACACTAGTCAGTTTGCTGGTGCTTTAATTAGTCATTTATCTCTGATTTTATTGTTAAAGACAATAAAATAGGATCTTGGAGTTTGCCCATAAAACAAGGCCAGGATTTAGTGGAGCCCATAAAGCACTTCTGGAGGTGGTGGGGAATGATAATTGACAACAAAAACACTTATGCAGGTTTAGCAATTCATAATTTTATTAAAATTAAGAAGATTTTATAATGTTATATGTATATTTTAATTCCAAGATTTATTTTCTGTATGTTTGCCTAGCTTTAATAATAAGGCAGCTTTATGTGAGTTTACATAAATGAAATTTTGTGAAGAGACATCTTAAAAGCTAAACTCTCATCACTTCTCGGCCTTTTGGCTAAGATCAAGTGTTAAAAACTAACCTCTTAAGTTGTTGCAAATTTTTGTTTCCATAGTTTAAAGCTTTATTCTCTGTCAACTTTCATGGCAGCTCACCCTAAAATGCTGTTTTGGATAGGCAGAGGTGGAACGGCACAGAAAGGTGGCCCACACTATGGCTTTGCCGTCTCTAGTAATCATCTTACTCCTGTCACATAGAGCATTAGTGTAAACCATGAATTAGGGATTTTCTCAATCTTTTTGTAATCTCTCTTTCCTCAAATAATGTATTATTATAACTTGATGTAAATGTTTTGTTTAATTATAGTAACATCTGAGCTTATAACAGTATCTGTGGGAGACAGATACTGTTATACTTTGATTTTTGATCAAAGTATACTTTGTTACTTTACAAAGTATACAAGTATACTTTGTAAGTATATATATAGTGTATACTTGTGTACACAAGTATATACAAAGTATACTTTGATACTTTGATTTTGAAGCAGTTATTAATAGCATCTGTCAGTGGCTTCTATGATGACCATTCTGACTATCCTAAATTGTGAGCATTTGCTGAGCTTTTCTCCTGACTGACCTCTACACACAGTCAGCTTTCCCACGGGCCTCTCATCTGTCTTTCCTACGTCTTCATAGATGGGTGATGGCCCTGCCCATGAGCTTGTTTTTTGAAAGATGTATATTTCATAGACGGATCCCCTATAAACCCTGGGGAGATACAAGACTATTTTATTGATCCATGTGGATTTCTTTGTAATAAATGCTTTCTTTTGCTTATAAAGGGGTAACTTTTATAATATAATCACCTTACAGATTGGGGCAGGAGGGTGGTACCCAGATATTTGGAAAGCATACTAGACATGTGGAAAGCTTCATTGGGTCATATGAACCATATCCTTATTAAGGCTGAACCTCATTTTAGTCCTCACAATCTTAAGCATCTGAAGAGACTAAGTGTAGTTATAGTAGAAGATATCACTGCCTTGGCATTGACCTGACAACATTAACCCCATCAGGTCCATCTAGGAAGTTGTCTTCCTTGACATGAACGATACACATGAGCCTCTCACCTGAGCACATCAGGTCAGGACACCAGTAGGCTCCCCATGGCAGGACAGCCTTGCGATGGGGTGACAGTATTGCTCCAGCTGTCAGGTTTCCTGGTGTGCTACAGGCCAAAGGGAGACTGCTCTGCTTCAGGAGATACACTTCTTGCTGGAAGCTATGGGATATAACTTCTTTTAGAAATACTACAGCCACAACTGGAATCCAGGCATCTTAGGCTCTGTAAATTTCATGTTATTTTTGTGTTATTATGTGTACCTAATAATATTTAATCTAGTTTTTGTCAGTAACACTGAAAGTTTTACTCCTATCTACAGTATTACCATAGGAAATGTTTTTTCCACGGGAAATGCACTGAGTAGTTCAAATTCATTTACAAACAAACTTGGAAGCCACTCCTTTTCTAAGTTAGTAACTAAATATCTGGTCATTTTTGTTAGCGCTGGATTTCTTTATCTTATATATTTGATATTATTTTGGCATGTAGTCATCCAAATAAATATTTAGTTGTCTTTTTGTTCTTTTGGAGGCTTTATTTTTCAAAGCAAATTATTAAATAGTTTTGGAATGCTGGGTGTTATCATTTCATATTAGTGATGTCATCCATTGTCAGTCAGTCATCCATCGGTGGCCCAGTAAACACAAATTGTCCTTTTTTTTTCCAAATTACTGTGTTTCTTAGAAACTCATAAACTTTAACAAAATATACTTTTCATAAACCTTAATAAAATACACTTCCAAAAAATCAAGCTAAAGTGATTAATTACAATTATACAATCCCAATGTCTAATACTGAAAATAACTTTTTTGCCAGTTGGAGGAGGATAGTTGTATGTTTAGGCTAAATCATGGAGTCTTTCAAATCTTGGCTACCAGCTTTCATCTGGTCCACAGTTATAGTGACAGAAAATCACTACTCCCAACGATGGTTTTGAAGTGGGCTGGTGACCTCAGAGCTGGTCAGTCAGACCAGCCTGCTGTTGGACTGCTCTACATGGAGCACAGCTCTGTCTACAGCTTCCTCATTTGGGAAGGCTCACAGAAAAACAGCCATCATATCTTTTGTGTTTCTCTGACATATTGTTGGAGTTGAATATTTATACTGACTGGTTAAAGTAAGAAGAGTAAAAAAAAAAAGGTGGCCTAGATTTCAAGGAAAAAACTACTATTTTCAAAACAACCCTTTAGCATGCTTGCTCAGCAGGATATGGAGCTCTGCCTGTGCTTTCCTTGCTCCAAAGCTCTCCCTGCTATTGACTCGGCGACACTCCTAAGGCGTTTCCCAACCTTTGTCTTCTCAAGTGGCCTGTGCAGCAGTTTAGTAGGTCAGACAAGCTGAAAAGTAACAGTCCATTGGTGTCATTCTATGTATGAACTTTATCTTTTTATTGCTAGTTATTATGTTCTTTTATTTTTATATGATAAGGCAATACTAGGTGAGGGGGAGAAATTTCCTGAAATATGTTAACCCTATACTACAGAAAGTACAGCTAGCAAAATTTTTTGGTGAGGGCATTCAAAATCCTGCTAGTATTTATGTCTAAAATTGTTAAAACAAAACTACTAACCTCTGTCTAAAATATTATTAATTTATAAGTATTATGTTATTTAGATCTCTTGAATGGCCCTTTAAGAGTAATGTGTTGGAGGGAACTTTATTACAGAGCTTAATCAGTAGTGACTATAAACAGAGGGCTCTACCCAAATGTTGAGAATGACAAGGAGCAGTAGGTGCCATCTATGGCTTTGAATTGCATCCCTTAGAACAGAAAACCAGACAGCCACAAGTAGCGAAGCAGTTGATGAGATCTTAACTTGCTGATCTCAGAAGGTTTCATGAAAGGAGTGAGAACAAAGGCTTTAAACATCTTGATCTGGCAGAAGGAAAAGCTCTCTTCAAATTGGTAAAATGCTACCTGTGAAGACGTAAGAGTAGGATTTGGAAAGATGTGCGCAAAAGAGAAAGAAAAAGGCAATTCACTTGTTTATTCTGTGAATATTCAGTGTTCCTGTGTGCTGTGCCCATGACTTGTTGCTGCAGCATTGAGCTTTGTATGGGGTTTCAGGGATTTATCCTAGACCAGAATATACTGAGGTATAAAGTTAGCTGGATAGAACTGAAAAGCCTTAAACCTTATAATTAGAGATTGTGGATTGATCCAAGAAAAAATTAGCGTCACTAAGACCCTAAGAGAGAAAAGAAGTAATAAAAATGAAAATGAGCCCTGGCCGGATGGTTCAGTTGGTTAGAGCGTTATCCCCATGTCACAGGTGTGCACAGGTGTGCACAGGTAACCAGGTTCTTAGTGATCGAGAACAAAGAATTGAACCGAACACACAAAGTTTATAGCATAAAGAAAGAGGGGAGGTTTATTAAGTGATAGTACACACCACAGGACACGGGAGTGAGCCAGCTCTGAGCAGAGGAAAAAAAAGGGGCACGTGGGCTGGGGGATTCTATTCTTATAGAGGCAGAAGCCCCCTGCTAGTCTTTGGCGGGCTTTTCCTGCGCAGGTACAAGGAGTTGGATTTCAAAGCTACTGCGCATGCGTGGTTTCCCATGACTTTCTTGATTGGCTACTGGAGAAGGGAGTCCCACAATGTTATTTCATTATAATGATATTATAATGAATCAGGGGGTAGCGCGCAGGCGCATTCTATGATTCAGAGTTGTCCCAGAAAACAGGAACAACCCGTCTTAGGGGGTCTTTGTCATGTATAGGTGTTTTCTACCTCAGCCCTGCAGGGCCTCGGGAGCTTCCTTCCTGACTACCTCCTGCCTCACCCATACACCAAAAGTCCATTCATTGGTTTGATTCCCAATCAGGGCGTATATCTAGGTTGCAGATTTGATCCCCAGTTGGGTCATGTATGGAAGGCAGCCTACCAGTGTCTATCTCTCTCTCTCTCTGCTTCCCTTCCTCTCTCTCTCTAAAATCAATAAAAGCATATCCTCGGGTAAGGATTTAAAAAATTAATGAAAATGAAGTCAAGATTATCTTACTGTTGTAGCTGTAATAGATTTAACATAAAGGGAGAGATTGGGGCAGGGTTACAGGTATGGAAATTTCTGCAGCAGGTGAGGGAAGAACCCAGGACCAGTTAGTTACCAGTTGATTTTGAATTTCTGATCCCTGTAGACAGCTCCAGTGGGAACTGTGGCAGATGCCAAAAATATAAAATAGACCACTTCCTCCAAGAGCTCACATAGACCTCACCAGCAGGAGAAGACCCAGAAAGGCACCAGTGGACAAGTACTTAGTACAAAGAGCTGTGGACTGGTAACAGCCACC